AGAAATTGAACTCCAGAAAATGGAAAGAGCTCCATTGTCATGGTTTGATAGATTAATATTGTGTAAATTGTCATATTCCCCAAATTAGTTTATAGATTCAATGCAATTCCCATGAAAATACCAATGATACTCATGAGAAAATAGATAATCACAATATATGCAATTAAATTATACTAAAAGTCCCTAGTAACAAAAATTAGTATGCTACCGACACAAAACATATGTATATATGTGGATTGGATACAGGACCCAAAGAAAATTCACACAGCTACATGCATCTGTATGAAAGGAAATGCAGACTTGTACATCCACTTTAGAAATCACTACAGCAGTTTTTCAGAAAATTGGGACTTTATCTAATTCAAGACCCAGCTATATCACCCTTGGGTATATACCCAAAGGATGTTCAATCATAACACAAGGACATTTGCTCAAATATGTTCATAGCAGCATTATTCCCAATAGCCAAAAGCTAGAAACAATCTTCTAGATACCTCTCAACTAAAGACTGGATAAAGAAAATATGATTCATTTACACAATGGAGAATTACTCAGCTGTTAAAAACAATGACATCAGGAAAGTTGAAGGGAAATGATGGAACTAGAAAATAAAAATCATCCAGAATGAGGTAACCCAGACCCAGAAAGACAAGCATACTCTTATGTGGATATTAGCTGTAAGGTAAAGGATAGTCATCGACAGACCCACAGGCCTAGAAAGGCTAGGTAACAAGAAGGGCCCAAGGCAGTGATTTCCATGGAAAGGGGAATTAGAAGAGATCTCCTGATTAAACTGGAGTGGGTGGTGATAGCAACATGAGAGATAGGGTTGGGGTAGATGGAGGGGCAGAGTACTGAAAGAGGTGTCTTGATATGGGAGGGCATTTTGGGGTCAGGTAGAAACCTGGTGCAAGGAAAACTCTCACGAATCTACAAGAATAACCCCAGCCAAGACTCCTAGCAATAGTGGAGAGGTAGCCTGAACAGCCTATATCCTGTAATCAGACTGGTGAGTACCCATTTGTCATCAGAGAGCCATCATCCAGTAACCAATGGAAACAGATGCAGAGACCTACAGCCAAGGACTGGGCCAAACTCAGGGAATCCTGTCAAAGAGAGGTAGGCAGGATGGTATGAGCCAGGGGGAATCAAGGTCATCAAAAGGGAATCCATAGAAACAACTAACCTGGGCTCATAGGGACTTACAGTCTGGGCTGACAGCTAGGAGGACTACATGGGACTGATCAAGGCCCTCTACACTTGTGTGATAGTTGTGTAGCTTGGTCTATTTTTGGGACTCCTAGCAGTACAAGCCGGCCTGACCCTAACGGCTTGACATATACTGGGTTGCCTTGCCCAGGCTTAATACAAGGAGAGGAACTTTATCCTACCATAACTTGATATGCCATGCTTTGTTGATACCCATTGGAGGCCTGCCCCTTTCTGAACAGAAACAGAGAAGTGGTTGGGGGGTGTGGAAGAGAGGCGGGGGAGGGAATGGGAGGGAAGGTGGGAGGGCAAACTTTGTTCAGGATGTAAAATAAATGAATACATTTAATTATTTTTTTAAAATCCTTTTTTGACTGGTATAAGTTATTTAGACTTCTCCTCTCACAGTGAGTTTTCCAGAGGAAGTTCCAATTCCTTTATGGACCACTGTTCTGATACTTTGATAGCCAAGAGGAGGAAACAGGTGAGGGGAGGGTGGTTGCATGTGCCTCTTAACAATATTTTAATTTCTGCTATCATCATCTTTATAGGACTTTTTTGGCACTTTGGGAGGGCACTAGTGTAAGTTGGTTCATCAGCTATGGATATCAGTACGGAAGTTACTCAAACAGAACTTTTATATAATACAGCTATTCTATTCCTGAGTATTCACCCAAAGGAATCAAAGTAAAATACAACCCAAGTGCCTGCCTATTCATGCTTACTGAACCACCATTTATCATAGCTGTTGTACTCACCTTTCTTAATAAGAATTGGACAAAAATCTGTTCACCTTAGATAGGGAATCAACAACAGACCAAAGTACATTTGTGAGCATAATTGATTCCATCAAGGTCCGACTTGGTCCACCATAAAGTTTTCTGGTATCACTTACAGGGCATGGGTCAGTTCTTACCTAGGAGAGTATGAGGGACGCCAAAAACAGCTGCACTTATGCACAGTTTCAGCTTCTCATGGATAATGATAACTGCCTGTACAGCTGGATTTTGCAGGACAAACTAGCTCACAAATGCACTTTCACCCCAGAAGCTTCCCCAATCTGTGTCCCCGGGCCCAGTTCCTAGCCTATAGATCTCTGTCTCTGTTTCTCTTTCTTCTTCCCCCTCAGACACAAAAGGTTTAGTTAAGACCTAGGATCCTGGGACTGGAAAGATTGTTTAGCAATTTAGAGCACAGGTTGCTCTTGCAGAGGATTGAGGTGTCCAGAGGATCTGACACCCTCTTCTAGTGTCTGAGGACACTGCATGTAAGAAAAATAAGGTAAGGAAGCAGACAAACTTGATTTCACAGGCTGAGACTGCTTCATTGGAATATTGAGGGGGCGTGAACCTTCATGGGCTCTCTGTCTCTGTCTCTGTCTCTCTCAGACACACACACACACACACACACACACACAGAGGGAGGGGGAGGAGGGAGGGAAAGGGAGATAGGAACGAGAGGGAGAGGGAGAGGAAGAGGGAGAGAGGGGGGGCTATTTGGGGGAGGAGTTGAATGGAAGCAAAGTAGGTTTTGTTTTTTTTTTTTTTAATACCAGGAGCATTGTTTCTACAGGTGGAGGGAAATGAGGTCAGGTTGGGACTAAGTCATTCTTTAGGGATAAAGAGCCCCCATATGGCCTGACTCAATGACTCATGACTCAACATATACCACCTCTAGATGGATAAAAGAAGAAGGAGTAGTGGTTTTAGTTTTAGGGAAGGTGCTTTTTCCAGTTGCAAGAAGGTAATGGTCTCAACAGTGGAAGGAAAATGTTGCAGTAAATTCTTATAAATGGGTTACAGGCTGGTAGTTTTAGGCCATGAGGAGTTCTCGTGGGTGGTGAACACCTGTAGTGTTGGATGAGCTTGGTGAGAGAGCTGTAAGGGCAGGGGCCAAAGAGTAACGGTACAATCGTGATTAGGGCTGTCAAGGGGACAGTCTATAGTACTCTCCCAAACAGTTCAGGTGCCCTTCTGGAAAGCTTTGTCAGTTCCTTTTCTGTTTTGAATTCTTTCTAATATTTGTTTAGTGTTTTCCTGTGCTGGACCAGATCAATTGGCATAAAAACCTCATTCTTCCCCTAGGAAGGCACAGATACCTCCTTTGTTCAGCAGTCATTGAGTCCTTTTTGATTTTGGAGAATCACTATAGTCAAGAAGTCTACTACTTGGTTTTGCAAGGGTTATTCTTTGTTGTACAGGTCAAGCCTTTCTTGGTCTGATTGGTCTGTAGGTTGTGTTGTGCCTATTGGTGTCATATAGCTGTTGTAGGATGCCAGCCATTGGGAGGGCTTACATGGAGTCTTTGGGTATACAGAGGTGGGGAGGGGGAGTTCAGAGGATAAAACACTTAAAAGACAGGGTAAAATGTGAGCATGAGGCTAAGGAGGGAAGGAGTGATCAGGGGAGGGGACAAAATAAATCGGAGGAGGCTTGTGGTTGAATTTTTTTATTTTTTGATCCTCATGTCTCTGGGACCCATCTCAAACCAGTTAGGATTTGTTGGTGTGGAAGCAGCATCCTTCTAGGAGGGAGGCCCAGATCCCATCCTTGGTAGTGATAAGATCTAGTTGTAAAGTACTTTGGCAGACAAAGAATCGAGTTGGTCCTGTAGGAACTGACCTGAAATTTCTCTAAGGTCTTTGAGAGCTGGTAAGATAGAGGGGTTAATTGATGTAGCAAAGGCTTCAATCCAGCTGTTTTAGTTTTGAGTCCTGAAAAACGATGTTTAGAGTGGCAAAAAAGCTGAATGAACAGGATGGAGTTGAATCCCCCTTCAGAGGTTACCCAAACTGCTTTTAGACATTTAGAGTGCAGATTTCTCTTGGAGCTGACAAAAGTGACAGTGTAGAAAAGAAAAGGCAGCATTTAGGTGCCTTAGAAGAGGGTTCTTCCATAGGGCCACAATAAAACTGAAAGCAAAGATCCAAAATAATAGTTAGGAGGTAACTACTGTACAACCCTCTCAGGAACATTAAGAGGTAAAATTTGTGTAGTAAGGTTAAATACACTTGTACAACTGGCTAGAGAAGGCCATGTGCCAGAGTTTTGTAGAAGGACATGGCAACTGTAATTACCAGTTTGTTGCGTCAGAATCCTGTATAAGGAACAAATGCCTGGAAGTCAGTTTAATTCAGCATCTAATTGTCAGTTGAAAAGAGAAATAGAATGTCCCTGAGTCATTTCTATAGGATTGCCTAACGAAGTTTTTAAAGGCACTGAGTTTGATGACAGAGTGTCTGGAAGTCTGCTTTAAATCCAGGAACATGGGTGGCGAGGGTATAGACTGTGGAGTTCACTTTTGTTAAAAGGAAGAACTGAAGGTCAAGGAAAAAGGGCTGGACAACTGAACTAGCAGGTAGGTGACATATGAGTCGCTGGTAGGCTTAGGTACAAGCTGCCCCTGTTCATAGCATCTTCATAGGTCAGTCTGGGAGACACTGAGGGCAGAGTAATTGCTATTTGACTCTCTATTGTTTAGACATTTAGGATGTGGGCGTAGGCTCTAAAATCCTCCAGTGGGAAAGAGAATCCAGCTCCCTAACATGTGTGACCGGAGGAGTAATTCATGTAATTCATTTTCCTAGAGATATGGAGGATTGTTTGTTATGTTGTTGTTGCTGTTTTTCCAGTTTGGCCTAGTTAGCTAGAACTGGTCAGGCCTACACAGCCAGAGACAAGAGCAGCAGATCTTCTGGGGTGGGGGGTTACTTCCATATGCATTCTTATTCTGCAACGAGGCCAGCATGCAACATACATGTCACACCGTAACAAACTAAGATTACCTGTATATGAATTTTGACGATCATCTTTCTTTGTTGTAAGTTTCAAGTTAACACCAAGAAGGTGGAAGAGAGCTTTCAAAGAGTTAGACATTCATAATTACATTTATGGGTCATTGTAACTTTTAAACATATACTTCCCTGGATTAAAAAATTAAATACCATGAGACATAACAGTAACAAATAAACTCATCATTTGTTGTAAGAAATTTTTCTAAAGGGGCTGTTAGGCAATATTTAGGGCCTTAACTCAGTATATATAACGAATATTTTTTAATGTTACATAGGTAAACATGTTTTCCTGTTTTAGATTTTAGCCCATATTCCTAACTAGGGCCTAACCACGTACAACTAGCTATGAGGAGTGGATGGATATTTGGGCAAAGTTCCACCAGTGACATTGTCTATCTCCTCCTTATTTGAAGGAATATTAACATGTAACAAGTTTAGCTATAATTATTTTAAGTGTGCATAGCTGGAGTTATGAAGACGGCCATTGTTCTGTTTATAAGATATTGTGCAACACTACCTTAAAAAAAGAGGGTTGAATTCAAATGGCATACACGAGTGATGCAATGCATTAATATTACCTGTTTTCAGGTAAACCGTATAGAAAATATAAGGCAGCCTTTATAATATATGTGGAATGTGGTTTTAGTAGATAGACACCTTTATACTATGAGGTGACAATAGTAGCCTCTATTGGAAATAGTTTAGCTTTTAGCTATTTGTTTATTTATCTATCTATTTTTCTCTCATACATTACATCCTGACTGCAGTTTTCCCTCCCTCCACTCTTCCAAGTCCACCTCACCCCTCCCCTAGATCCACTTCTCTATTTCCCTTCAGAAAAGAGCAGGGCTCCCAGGGATAGCTGTTTTAAAGTACATAAGGTCAAGGCCATTTTGACTAAGGGAACAGGTAAGCTAACTGCAGATCACTTCTCCCCTGCTGCCTCCAAATCCATTAAATCCCCCAGTCTCATTCCTAGCTCTGCAGCAGAAGCAGACAACCAGCTGTGGCCATCCCCCCCAACCTCCAGTGGCTCACACCCACCTTCCCCACCTTATTCTCTTCCCACCACTCATTGCTTTATCCCAGACCCCAGCTTCAGCAGGCATTCCCTGAGAACCCACGGGCCACTCCAGCCAGGGAAGCAGGTAGACTAACAGCAGATCTTCATGCCTCCCACTGCAACTCCAAATCCAATCCCCCCAACCCCCACACTAGCCTTATCTCCAGGTCTGCAGCAGACTTGCTGTGGCTTCTTCTCACCCTTTGCCTCCATTACCAGGGGAATAAGCAGAGCATGGTGCAACACCCTTCTTTTCTCCCCCTTGTGGAGCACCTATGCCATTCCTAAGTATCAACTCTCAATATCCATAAACACATTTTACCTGGAAGCCCCTAACTGGAGTATTCAGTGGCACTGTTAGATTTATTAAATGCCCATGGCTGGTGAGGGTATGGGTAGAAGAGAACCTACAACTCCAACTGTCCTACATCAATATATTTTCAAACTGCATTATGAACACTCATCCTTAGACCCACAGGTGAGCGCAGCTCTCACTCCACATCAAGGAAGCTCCGTTTTGCAGCATGTGGGGACGATTATAGAGACTCACAGCTGGTCAACGTGCAGAGAACAGCTGACTGTGGGGCACTTATTCCCTGAAGGCACATCTATAGCATAACCCTTAATGGCTCGTTTCCTTATGTCCTGACTTCTTTATTTCCGCTCAAATGGCTTGTATACTAGATGTCAATCGGGAATGAATAGAGGAGGGGATGGGGTTTCCCATATGAAAGAGGAATGGCTGTGGGGAAATTTCACTCACAAATCTTTTTTATATAATTCTTGGATGGAAGCTGCAGAGCTAGCCAGTGGACACCCTTCCTTCTGCACCCTCTAGATAAACTGTGTCCACAGGCTAGAAGCAAATGCATGTCAAAGGAGAAAGGGAGGGGGCAAAGTGAGGGCATAACTTTTATGATCGTGTTTTTTTTAAAATAATTTCCATATCAATTTAACCCACCATGTCTCATGAGCCCTGCAAGCAGTTTTCTTTACTGGAGGAATCATCTTTCTCTGGAGATCTTAGGTGAAAAGCTCTGCCACTGAGCTAGCAAATGGCTTTCCACTCATGAAGCCATAATTGGATTCGATCTCTTCAGTGTCGTTATATGCATTTCTCCAGTCACCTTCCTTCTATCTCCTCAAACGTGAGCAAGCACCAGTGTCTCCCAAGCAGACGCCGTGTGTGTCTTCAAACTTCCCTTCTTCAACATCACAGCCTAGGAACCGCACAGATGCGGTGGCTGACGGGTGAAACGGTAACGGACATTCTGAATTGCAGGCTCAGCTTCTCATTGGCTGGGGGCTTGAAGGTAAATTTTTGCACAAGAGCAGTGAAGAAAATAAAGAGCTCAGACCTAGCCAATTGTTCTCCAAGACAAGCTCGCTTTCCTGTAAGACCGAAACAAAGTAACAAAGTAATTTATTTTGGTATGCCCAGAGACTGGTGTCACTAACTACCTTTTGCAAAGTTTGAGTAGACTTTGGGAGTGGAATCCAGTCGCTTAGCTATGTCTGGCATCTGCCTGCCTTGTCTTCCCAAAACATAGAAGGTGAAAGCCTAGGATCACAAATCAAATGCCCCCAGGGATCAGGTAGTGCTGGGAGACTAAGGAGCCCCTCTGCCTGGCATCCTTCCATGTCCTATTTCCAAGACACAGAGAGAGTATCCCTTTAAAATAACTTGGGAAAATTAAAAAACTCAATAAAGATAGAAACCTATCCAGCTTTTGGAGAACAAGAGGCAAGGATCTGGGTCTTGGTATTGGAGAAAACTGGAAACTTCATTAGGGATAAAGGAGACAATTTGAAAGAGGGGCTAGTCTGAAGCAGTGCTGGTACAAAGTATTATGGGATTCAAACAAGGCAATACTGGGCCACATACTCTACCAGAGTAGGAAGGTAACTATCCATCTGGCTGCAAACCCTGCAATCTACAATATACTGTTGTGACAGTGAGAAGGAAGGAGGGACACGGAAGTAGTTGGGAAAGAGAACACTGATCACAATATATTGTATGGAAAAATTAATAAACAAAAAGAAGAGAAAGATGGGGATACAATGGGCAGACTCATCTAGAGACACTCCCAAGTAAAGTGTAGAACTATAGGGTGGAGAGGAGGGAAGGGCTGGGGAGGAGCTCTGAACTCTGTCCTGCACATCACAACTCACCCATTGAGAACGGCAGAAAAGATTCTCTCTTCTTAAACTGTCCATTCTCCAAAAAGTGCTCTGGGTTGAAGACGTCTGGAGTGGCCCACTCCTTGGGGTCTCTGTGAAGTGCAGTCAGGTTGGTCAGGATCATGATTCCCTGAAAGAAGCAGCAGGAAGTAAAGACTTAATAAAAACTCCCACGGACAGGTGGCCTGAGATACTTGATATCCTGAACTTTCCTACTCTCCCCAGCCGAGTCGCTGTCACCTGAAGTGTCCCAGCCATGTACAAAGGTAGGTGGACCACACTTTATTAATGAAACTATCTACTTTACTAAAAGTGTTAGTATAAGTCTGGGAAGAGGACCTGAAGCATCCACGGGAGGAATGATGAGCCTGCTGTTCATTGCAGGTAGGATCATGGCAGCTGTCTGATAGGATGTCTCCTTCATCTATGCATTATTTTCCATGGATGACAGCCTATCTCACTACAGTCAAAGACCCAGGGATGTATCAGAAAGCATTCCTGTCAAGGCAGATGAGTCACCAAAGTGGGCCTTTCCCTCTTTTTGCTCAATCATCAGCCTAGCTGGTCCACTCTGCAAATATCTCTTGAATCTATCACCTGTGTTCCAGTTCCCACTGCAGCCTGAGTACAGGCTCCCATCTTTTCCTTCTAGAGTCTTGCAACCACCTAGTAACTATGACTCTGTTCCACAGTTTGAAAGCTGAGTGGGCTTTGCATATGACTTAGCCGCATTGTCCACTCAAACTTGGAAAGCAGGTTTCTCATATTTTTAAACCAAAGATTCATCCTGTGTATTACCAGAGGCACTGTTCATTGCTCCTCCCACCATAGTATTCTTTCTTTATGATCTCAACCAGGCCATGTTGCAATGCTGACTGTTTTATGTGGCAGCCCGTGTTTGTGGAGACACAGTAGGAGCTAGCTAACTTGCCTGGTTTGTATCTGAGATGGGGAGTGTGGATTGAGAAAGGGTAGGTAAAGACTATAAGAGAAAGACAAAGATACAGGATAGAGTCAGGAGGGCAATTCAGTGAACACTGAATGTCTAGAGTTTATTCTTCAACATTCTTAAGTACCCAGCCAAAAAGGGGTAATGTGGCAGAAGACTTCTATTATCATGTATAAGGAGCAAACAGGCTTACTTCTCTTAATCCTCCAGGCATTTGGTAGCCATAGTGAACACACCTGAGCCCAAGTCTGTTGTTATTTAGATAAGATATCCGCTACCAAGGCTGAAACATCCTGCAGTAGCCAAGCCTTAGACCTTTAGGTCTTTTGACTTATTAAGGACAGTTTTGAACTCTCTGTCTTTGAGACAAGATAGAGAGCAGCCATCTTTATGGGCCCAGACAGTTTTAGATGGAGAATTCCTTTGCATTTTGACACAAAGCTAATTCTTAACTCTCCTTCAATCCTTAGCTCTATTACTAATTCCTTCTGAAGCACTCGCTGATTCCTTCAGCTGCTAATCCTCATCCCATGTTGCCATGCATCACAGAAAACTAGAGTGTTTTCCTTCCAACAGTCCTCATGGCTTATAACCAGGGACTCCCATAACTTGGGTATCCCAACTCCAGACCCAAACTTTGTTGGTGTTTAATGAGTATTTTCTCGATTAGTAAAGAACAACTTCTATTCTGAGTATAATGCTTTGCATATGTAATCTCATTATATTTCCATATGGAGCCTATGCATTTGGTTGAATGTATTTTGTAGAAGCTGCGGCTGTGATTGGTTAGGTAATGTGCTTGTGCAGTGGGAGTAACTGAAGTCAGCATTGGAAACAGGCCTAACTGCTGTCAAGGCCACAGTTCCCCACATCTGATGGAAATAGCCATTTAGATTTCTCAATCCCCAGGGAACTGATGATACAGTCACTGGAAGGAGTTGGTACAGTTGTCTGAAGATGAATGAATGGACAGAAAAGAATGCAAACAGCACTGGAAAAATTCAGACCTCAACTTCAAGCCGTGAACTGTTCATCGAGAAAGAGAATGGTGAACACAACGATTGCTCTCCGCTTCCTCAGCAACTGTCCTCTGCCGGCATTAGGCAGGCAAAATGCTGAGCTGTGCCATAGCAAACAAAGCCAGGTTTGGCCTAAGCACACCTCATCTAGGAATCTTCCCTTCTCAACTCTTTATAACAGATTTGAATATCCACTGATACACACAGAGGATTTGGGCAGAAATATACTTTTCTTCCCATTGGAATAATTTCTTGGGTCGGGAATACCTGTTACTTTCTAAGTTTAGCATCCCAAGATGATGCCAAAGATGGACTGGAGGATCTGAGGCTGGGGAGTGGTTACCTTTGGCAGGTCAAATCCAGCCAACTTGGTGTCAACTGCCCCTTCCCTGGGAACATTAAAGGGGATGATGTTTCCTATTCTCTGCACTTCATGAATGACGGCACTGGTGTAGGGCATGGACTCTCTGTCAGCCAGGCTGGGCTGTCTTCCTTGACCAATCACTTTGTCGATCTCAGCCTGAACTTTTTCTGAAAGAAAACAGGAGATTCTATTAATTTTAAAACTTGAATGCTTTCTTTTAAAGACATAGAAGTTGTAGTATGAGATCTCACCTGCTTTTACTTCATCTTAACATTCTTGTTATAAAGAAATAAAAGATTCACCAACCCTTCAAATATCTGTTTTAGAAAACTGTCAATTCAGTAGTTTTCTTTGAGCTTACAACAGAATCATAAATTTCCTTGCATCCTGAGCTAAATATCTCAGATCACCACAGGTAAGCTCATAGCAATATCTAGGCAGGCTTCTACATGTCAGCACCATTCAGCGAGTGGGCCACAAATCACACCAATGTTTTCCTCATAGTTCTAGGGCCTGGAACTTCTGAGATCAAGGCACTAGCAGTTTTCTTGCCCTGTAGACAACAATTATCCATCTCTTTTTTTTTCATTTTTTATTTTAATTTTAAATAGCTTGTTTTACATGTCAATCCCAGTTCCCTCTCCCTCCCCTCCTCCCGCACTCCCCTTCCCCCGCACCCTCCCACCCTATTGCCAAATCCTTCCACATAGGGGATATCTAGAGTCTGTCACTTCACTCTGGGTAGGGTCCAGGCACTCCCCTAAGAGTCCAGGCTGAGAGAGCATCCCTCTTTGTGCTATAGGCACACGATGACTGTTTGTATTCCAGGGATAGACACTGATCCACAACTCAGGGCCCCATAGGTTGCCCAGGCCTTCTCGCTGACACATTTGGGGGGGTCCAGATCAGTCCCATGCTGGCCTCCCCACTGTCGGTCTGGGGTCCAAGAACTCTCCCCTGTTCAGATCAGCTGTCTCTGCTGGTTTTGCCAGCCCAATCTTTGCCAATTTGCTCATCACTCCTCTCTCTCTGTCACTGGGTTCCTTGGGTTCAGTTCAGTGATTAATTGTGTGTTTGCCTCTGCTTCCATCAGTCACAGGATGAAGGCTCCCGGATGGTTATAGACATCAAGTTCATTATCAGGAATGGACATTCGAGGTGGTCTCTACACTATTGCTTAGCTTGCCAATTGGTGTTATCCCTTTAGATCACTCGAGGTCACTCTGGTGCCTGATCTGTCTTCTATCCTATGATTCCCTCTTCCCCCTATTCTACCCCCATCCACTCAACTTCCTGATCCCCCATGACCAACTCTCTTCCTCTTCACCCCCTCCATCTCTTAGGTGCCAAACCTTTGCTGTGTCCTCACACCATAAGGAGCAATGAATCTCTTTGGTAGGCGCTAACTCTCTTCTCAAGGGCCAAGTTCCTCCTGCTGTCACATCATTGATATAGATGAACATGAGCTTGGCAAATAAGACACAAAGGTTCAGACTGCAGAACATCTGTAGTCTCTACTTTCTTTCCTTTTTTTTTTTTTTTTTGGTTTTTACGTGACAGGGTTTCTCTGTATTGTTTTGGAGGCTGTCGGTCCACCACAGCCTCGAACTCACAGAGATCCGTCTGCCTCTGCCTCCCGAGTGCTGGGATCAAAGGCGTGCTCCACCACCGCCGGGCAGTCTCTACTTTCTTAAGGAGGTATATCAGCGTGGGCTGTAGACAGCAGCGTGTTGCTGGACAACATTGTTGGTGAAGATGCCTCCATTTTTGAGTTTCAGTATTCCCATGCGATTAGTGAGAATAAGTCTGTCTTATCCTAAGGATGCTTTCAGATTCATGTGAACGATTTCAATGACTGATTCTGCAAGCTGTCTGCCAATATGGCTTCTCTTCTCCAAGTGTAATAGATGTTGAACTAATTTTATCTGATTGGCTAGCTACACATTTCATTTAAAATGAATTTAGAACTTCAGGCCCTTTACTACTGCTCTCCACATAAAAATTAATTTCACATAAAATTTATATGTCATAAAATTTATCATTATTGCCATAGTGACTTTTGAGACAGGGTTCTTCCTGAGTGGCCAGGATCACCTTAAATTTTTAACACAATTGTCTCAAATCTGTCATGTGTTGAGATTAATGGTGGGAGGCACCAATCACAGATCTTCTCACCATTTTTGCATGAATAGTTCACTAGCCTTTAGTATGTTCCTATGTACATGTTGTTTCTGGAACTTCATTGTGCAAAAAAATCTATGTCCATGTTACAGACACTGATTTCTCCTTCGCCACATTCTCCCTTCGGTGTGTACAACTTGACTATTATTTCAGTTAGATAGTATAGTATTTGGAATTTTGTGATCATCTTCTTTAACTTAGCACAGTGTCTTGAATGAGTGCAGCATCAGAAGTCCTTTTCTGGTGCTGGAGGTGTGGTTAAGATCACATGTTGCTCTATCAGAGGACGTGAGCTTGGTTCCCAGCACACACATGTAGCTCAAAACCATCCATAACTCCAGTTCCAACAGATCTGATACTTTCTTCTGACCTTTGCAGGTACAAGACAAGCACATAGTTCATATACATACAGGTAAAGCACACACATACAGGCAAAGCAGTCATACACATAAAATTAAATAAATCTTTTAAAAACTTAAAAAGAATTTCTTACCTCTGATTATTTTTCTATAGATCTTAGGTGTATTCCACACTTTGTTTATTCATGTCCTATAGATATTCTTTTTTTTCTCCATCCCTTGACAACTATGCATGTTGTAAAGTGTACATGGTTGCAATTATATTATTTAAATGTACTGATATTTTGGAGTCTCGTTTTCAGGAGTCACCTCTGTATCCTAAGTGAGGTGTCCGCTAAGCTGAGCTAAGCCTGTAGGCTCGACATGGGGAGGGAGACAGCTGAGCTCTGCAAGTTGTCCTATGACCTCCACACTTGTACCATGGCACTCTAGTGCACCTCCTAAAATATATAGAAACTTTTAAATGTGATCTTCAGAAAGAATGCATCTTAAATGGTGATTCAATAAGCATACAGGTAACGATAGATACATTATTAAATATACATTTCACATTAATAAAGAAATAAAGTTTACCCTGGGGAGACAGCTCATTTAATAAAAAATCTTGCTTGCAAGCATGAGGACCTAAGTTTGGTCCCTAGCATCCATGTAAAAGAGTCAGGTATGATGGACAGCGGTAGTTGCAGTGTGATGGAGATGCAGAGAGAAGGGCACCCCTGAAGCTCAGTGATTGTTTGCTGAATTCCAGGTCAATGAGAGAACTTATCTCAAAAAAAGTGACCTATGTTTAAGGAAGGAGGTCTGGAGTTATTCTGTGGCCTACACATGCATATGCAGATATACACATAAATCCATTCACACAAGGTCACTCACACAAAGATGAAATAAAGGTTATGGACAAATCTGACTTCACCACATTGTTAGAATGCTAATTTTCTCTTTTCAGTTTTCATCCTAGGGGAAAATGTATCAAATTGACTTTATAACCCATGAATAAACTGTTAGCCATATTTTGAAAAAAAAGTTTCAGGATATGAAAAATGGTCCCAACCACTCCCTGATGAACTCTTCTAGAATGTGGAGGAAAAGAAATTTTGAGACAGACAATTGTTTGTTATAGACAGCAGGCAGTAGAGAGACATAAAAACAATGTACAAAGATCAGTCATTGTTCATCGCTGGAGGAAGAAAATGACAGCAATTCCCTAGTCAGTAAATTCCTGAAACACCTTAGAGATGTGGTACCTTAGAAGATTCTTCTAGATGTAGAAGAAACTGGAACAATACATTCTTGGTAGAGGGAAGACTTGATGTCATGGCTTAGAGACAAGAATAAAGGCAGTGACAAGAGAGGACATGAGAGCTACCATGCAGGGTAGGTGGGGTTGAGGATGGGCAGAAAGGTGCATATCACATGACTTCAGAAAGCAGACTACGGCATTTATTTGCTCAGTATCAGGGAAAGTAAGAATATATTGCTAAAAAGGAAGGAAGACATCTGTGTATGCTCCCAGGGTAATGCCACTCTTGACTGGAGTTGGCCACCATGCTCCTTGACTTCTCTGCTGTGTTCTGGACTTCATGAGTACACAGATGCTATAATATTGGTACTCCTGTACCCATCACAATCCTGACAGAACATGTAGGGGTTGTGCCCCATCCCAAGTGCACATCACCTCACAGCCACTCCATCTTTTGCCATCCTACCATGCCATCTCTGGGTCTCATCTGAGCTGCTGATTCCAGAAGCATCATGCCACCTTGTCTGGGTACATACACCATGTGCTCACCTTGGACTTCCGGGTAGAGGGCCATACAGAGCACAGCCCAGCGCAGTGTCGTGGATGTTGTCTCTGTTCCAGCAAAGAAGAGGTCCAGAGTGCTGCAGATGAGGTTTTCTTCATTGAAACTTGTAGTAGTCTTGTCTGGGTACTAAAAAGAACAGTGTGTGCTTGTTTATTCTGAAGTTCTCAGTCAAGACCTTAGGGTATGAATTTGAAAAGATTCATATAAAGTAATAATAATCCCTTTGACTTCATCAGGAAGCATTTTCCTGATCTGAGTTCAGTAAGCTAAGCAAACCTCATGGCACTTGGGTGGATGAAAATCTCAACTGTTTTCTTCTGATTATATTTTTGGAAACATTTGGCCCAGTGAAAAGAAAATGGGATAAAAATCATGTTTGGCTTCTAGTATCAGCCACATCACTAAGTCACCATTTGGTCTAGGACACTCAGTTAACATTTCTTCTCTTCAGTTTTATAAAATAAATATAAGAAACACATCTGTACATGACATTATCAACCATATGAGATACCACAAGTAAACAGTCAGTACTCAATCAATGCTTCCGTTGATCCCAGAAAGACTTGAGTGACTCTCGATGACCTCTGATTCTCTGAGCTCACCATTAATCTCTCCTAGTCAAGACTTCCTGATTCCATCAGTTATTTTTTATGACACATCATCATTTTTACCAGCTTCCTCCAGGAGAATAAATTTGCTAAGATTGATTTTAATATTTAATATTGATGACCTAATACCTGTATATGACCTCTTCCTATAAAGAATAGAAAACATTGCCTTTATCAATATTATTTCAGGAAAATGAAACAGGAGAGAAGATGAAAAATTACTATCCCAACTCTGTTCAGAAGAGGAACCCATAAGCCAATGTATCTAAGTTGTGGCACTGATCCAGTCATGTGTACCAATAAGAGGCCTAGGGAGATCAAGGCTGTGTATTTTGTGATATGTTTTGGATATGAAATGAAATTTCAGAATTACTGCAGGATCACTTTCTGAATTCTTGGTCCCTAGTTGTCTGAGGTATTTTTGGAGGTTCTATAACATTTGGGGAAGGGGAAGGACCTAGCTGGAGGAAGTGACTACTAGGGGCAGCACTCTTCAGGTAATATTAGGGCCCTGGATCTTGCCTTGGTTTCTGAACCCCACTGCATCATTGTGTGAGCAGACTTCACCACAGGCTTTTGCCACCATGACCTTTGCTGCTATGTCATTCCTGCTCTGGGGTGATAGACACAACTCTGTAAGAGGGTGAGCAAAAATAAATCTCTCTTGAGATTTTTGCCAGGTATTATCACAATGATACAAAAGTAACAACCATCAACTGGCAGCTGTCTAACCTTTTGTATTAGTGGATGGCTTTTATGTGGAGTCAGAAGGCCTCATCTAAATGTTAACTTTCACAGTCAGCTGTGCATTGCTTACATCTAGCAGCGTTGGATGAGACACAGTCAGTAACTGGCCCTTGGCCAGCTTGTAACAAAATTGAACTTCGGAGTTTAATTGCTACTTTCATTTCTGATACAGCTCATTCACATATGGGTAAGAGCTAAGAGAAAAATAGAAGGATAGTCATAACCTCGTGCCAAATGACCCTAACAATCCTGAATTAATGCTATCCTATAGCTCGTAAGTACTATACCCTTTTCACTTCAATTTTCCTGTAGGGTACTAAGTGCTAGTAAGATCCACAGAGATGTCCAATCTATTCATCTCAGCATATCGCTTGATACTCCATAATAAATCTTGTTTAGGTGACTAATTTTCAAAAGGAAGATTACACAGAGTTGTTCTTATAAGAGGGTACTCAAGGTTCAGAACCAAAGAGATGAGACACAAACATGGAAACAGAGATCAGGGAGAAATAGATGCTACAGTCTTGCCATTGAAGATGAAGGAAAGAGACATGGCAAAAGGTACCTGTGTGCTAGAAGGATCTGGAACAGGCAAAGTAAGAGTTCTCACTATCTCTGTATGAAGCTTTCCTGACCAACAGGCATACAGGGAGCATAAAGCACTATGACGGAACATCTGTGCTATGGCAAACCAATAAAGTCAAGGAAACACACTGGACATCAATTGGAAACTACTAAATTGCTGCCTCTTCTGCAAGAAGACAACACAGAAGGCAACCGCCCCACCTTTGTCATTTCCGTGAGGAAAGCATCAATGAAGTCTCTTGGCTCATCAGGGTCCCAGTCTTTCCGGTGACTGTCGACAATATCAGAGACAAACAATTTCAGTTTTCTCCAGTTTCTGAAAAATGTTTGGTGTGATCCAGGAAGATAATGAATTATCCTTGGAAAGATATTGTAGAGCTGGTTGGGAAAAATAAGACAGTCATGGAGACACCATGGTATCACATTTCAAAACAGTCTTGTCTTTCTCTTTATTTCTTAGAGTGGGATAGTGAAGCCATCTTGGCTCCTGTTTCACTCTTACTATGTAGCCCCTCCAGAGAGGGTAAAAATATTTGTCCTACACCACAGGAAAACCCACAGAATCAACTAACTTGGGCTCACAGGTAATCACAAAGACTAAAACACCAACCAGAGCTTCACTGACCTGTGCCCTCTGCACATATGCTACCGTTATGTAGCTTGGTGTTCTAGTGGGATTCCTAACAGTGGGATCAGGGTCTCTGTGACTCTGTTGCCTGCTTTTGGAACCCTTTCCTCTTAATGGGTTGCCTCATCCAGCCTTAATATGAGAGGAGGTGCCTAGTCTCATTGCAGCTTGATATACCATGGCTGGCTGATATCCATGGGAGACCTGCCCTTTTCTGAAAAGAAAGGAGTGGATGGTGGGAAGGAGGGATAGCAGAGGTTGGGGGAGGGACTGGGAGAAGAGGAGGAAGAGAAGGGAAAGTGTAATAAGGCTGGAAAAAATTCAATTAATAAAAAGTATTTGTCCTAGATGTTGGTTGTTATAAATATCAATTCTATTTGGATTTATTTTATGTATGTTTTGACTGAATGTATGCATATTCATCATTTGCATGTCATGTGCCTGCAGAAGCCAGAAGAGGGTATTGGATATTCTGAAATTAGATTTATGGATGGTTGTGAGCTACCGTTTAGATGTTGAGATCTGAACTCCAGTCCTGTGCAAGAGCAACTAATACTCATAACTGCTGGGCCATCTCTCTAGCCTCTACAGCTATCAGATTTTAAGGTAAGAACTAAAGCAATAGAAAAGAGTACCAAGTCTTCCCAATTAATACTTGCAGACGTTCAATGAGGACACTTAACAATAACTTAAATCATGGGAAAACTCAGATAATTATAAACTACAAATTAATCATAAATTGGTACTCATAATTTAAGAATATTTATTTTATTTGTAATTATGGGCAGGGGTACATGATGAGCTCATGAGTCCAGGTGCCTACAGAAGCCTGAGGCATTGAATTCCCTGAAGTTATGGGTGCTGTGGCCAGTCAACATGGGTGCTGGGAACCAAACTGTCTGTGCTCTTAATTGCCAATCTATCTCTACAGCACTCTCATATATTAATACTTTTATAGACCAATTTTGTACAACATTCATAGTGCCAATTTGCAAGAGAATCTATTGTTAAAAACTGAAATACCCCAAGGTCTAAGAACATGGAGTATTCATGAGTCTGAACATCCTAAGATGGTCTCTCACTGTGTCCTCTCAGTAAGAGAAGGTCCAGAGAGATAGTTGTGGATAACAAGAAGACCTAATACAAACAGGCTGGGGTATGGCAGACAGCAAGAAGCCAGATCAGGCTGGGAAGTGCTTGAAGAGATTCCCCACCCCCAGGGGGCAAGAACAGAGCTCATCAGCTGACAATAACCCTAGAGTTTGGCAGCTCTGAGTCTGAGGTCAGTAGGCAGAAAGCATCCATCACTTATCTTTCACTTTTGTTGAGTAAGAGAACTCCAGAGCTTAGGGGGTACACAGGATACCCACAGGGCATTCCTCCAGCAGGTAATCAGGAGCCTGAAAGTACAAAGTCAGCTCTCCAGCATATACTGATCTCAGTGCTGTGGCTGATTCCCCAGCTCCCAATGTACAAATGATACACAGGGGGTAAGATCTGAGGAATCTTGGGAGGGTGAAATGTTATGCCCACTCCGTGGAAAGCAAGCTCAGTGTAGCCAGCAGATATGAAAATAAGAAAAGCAGCAGCTATGCTATGAAAACAATTCTGGTAGACAGAAGACTCAGCGGTAGCACAAAACAAAGGACCAACAAAAGCCCATGAGTTCACGTGCCAATCTCCTCCATTACTCAAATTTCAGTCTTGCATTTCTGAAGACCTGCAAAGAGGATCCAACCACTTTTTTACTTTTTTTTCTGTGTGAATCATTATTTTCCTACACCTTTAGCCGAGGTTTTAATTTTTCACTTAAAAGCTTTAAATTAAAATAATTTTACATTTATTTATTTATTTATGTGCACATTTGTGCATGCGTCCATGCATGTGTGTACGTGCGCATGTGCGTGCGCATGTGCGTGTGTGTGCCTATGCTCATGTATCATGGTAGCTGTGTGGAGGTCAGAGGACAGCCTGAGGGGCATGGCTCTGTTCTCCCACCTTGGGAACTCCCAGGATCAAACTCACCTTGTCAGGCTTTGCAGCAAGCCCCTTTATAAACTCAGCCATCTTACTCAACACACTTATTGGTTACTCTCCCTCATAACTTCATCTAACTATGTTTATGACCCTCATTTTTAGCAATAGAATTTATTTACTTTAGTTTATTCACTTTTTTCACATTCCGTGCTCTCCTTTATATTTGTATCTTGAATTTACCTCATTGGCTTTTAAAAATAATGCTTACAGTTAAATTTTTTACTGCTCTTTTTGTATCTACTTTAGAACCTTTTTTGCTATTGTTAAATTTATTTTGTCTCCCCTCCATTTTAGTCTTTTCCTGTGTATAACATTCTTTTCCTCCATCCTTCTCCTTTCCTCTTCACATTATTTCACCTTATTTTCCCCCTCTCCTTCCCTGTCACCTTCAGGTATCTCATTCATTTATTATTGTAACACTACATTAGATAATTTTGGAACTTCACAGCATGTTCAGCAGTTTTGACATTATTTCAGATCTTTGGCCATTGGTGATATATTAAAGAGCTGCAACTGAATTCATGTGTGTCTTCATATTTTGCAAGAGATGAAGTTATTGTTACTATAACAGTTTGTTTTCTTCTCACAGAGTGGGACTATGGACTAAATTTTGAAGTCTAGGTAGCTCCATAAGAAGATTCTCTAAAAAATTCCAGAAATGCTATCCAACAGCTGCAAATACTGCAACATAGAAATAAAGACTCATGGAAAATCCATGCAACAAGACACCTGCATTTACAGGTCAGGATATTAAAAGGGAGATCTTGAGAGTCAAAAGAGTAGAAGAGAACTTAAGGGGGATGAAAACAGAATCTATGGAAAAGAGTACAATTAGTGGCATTGATAGGAAATAAGAGCCGAGAACAATTGAGGGAGAATGGAAACCAGCTGGACTGGGAAGAGAAAGCAATAAGAAAAAATATAGTGCTACATGAATGAAGATATCATGATGACACCATTTGCTATCTAAATTAATCCAAAAGATTAAAAACTATAAAGTTTCCAGGCAGTGGTGACATGTGTCTTTAATCCCAGCACTCAGGAAGCAGAGGCCAGCCTGGTCTACAGAGCCAGGACAGGTTCCAAAGCTACACAGAGAAACCCTGTTTCAAAAAAATCTATAAAGTTGATAAAACTGCAATGGACAGAGAGAAGCCTATGGTTCTGTAAGGAAAGTTTAGCACATTAGATGCTCTAACCAGCACGGTTATAATAGAGGCGCCTGTAATTTGCTCCACAACTCCAGGTCAGAGGCAGTAGTGGGACACTTGTGTAAGTGAAGTGAAGTTGACATGTTTTGGAACTGATTCATACATGCAGAGTAGATCATACTTATGTTTTGTACTCTTACATGATCTTACAGTTTGCAACATTAAAGTACCCTTTTCTTAGCTCAAACAATCAAAACATTTTAATAGTGATATATAATGATGCAAGGAAAAATGATGTATCAAGAGCACATGATTTAAATAAGTACAAATATATACACTACCTCACATATGCTTAAACCAAGGTAGCAACATGACTTCTAGGAAATACAGGTGGATAACCTTAGTAATTAATTTTCCTTTAAAACTGTCTTGCATATTTAGGAACATGGTGGAGAGACCAACAAGCTGTGGGAAATATTTGGAAGAGTCTAAAGATTAAAGGGATAAAAACGCTTTCCAAGATGGGGGTGAAGCTTGAACACCAAACTTTATGTTATGTTTATGTGTGTCAAGATTTCACAGCACCGAAAATTGATCGCGATGTAAAATAGGAATTAATTTTGAGCTTTTAGTTTTTCTTATATGCAGATGCACATTTTAGACAAATAAGTGAATGGTTTCACATGAACACTCGTAACAAGTATCCATCACACGTCTGGAAACAAATCAAAAATCCAAACATGGAGAAAGAATTATGAACAGTCACACATTTTTCCAACCCTAGTCTCAGTTAACAAAGAGCAACACACACAGAAGAATGTTGGTGCTTCATTTAAGTATTATAAATGTGGCTATGTCCAAACAAGAGTTTTGCATATTATCAACAACACTGAAATCAACAGATCTGTGTTAAACTCAACTCTAAGATAATATATTTTAACTTCAAAAGCCCTAAGTTACAAAAAGGAAGCACCTGTCTGTTTGAATCAGTCACATTTAATACCCTTCCCAAGATACGAGAAGGTCGAGTGCTTACCTGGCACATCATTGATGACTCCAAACACGTGGCGTCATCCAGTAGCCTCAGCATCTCCTGAAACCGACTGTCATGGTACTCAAAGCGCTCCCCAAAGGTGACAGTGCAAATGATGTTGGAAACTGCATTATTGATATTGAAGTGAGGGTCAAAAGGCTGTCCTGGAGGTTGGAAAAGAGATCTGGGTTGTTTAAAGATATTTACATTTCTATTGTCTATAAACAATTAACTCCAAATGATAAAAAAAGAACCCTCCACCTTTCCCCCCTCCTATACAAATATTGGAGAATGCAGAGAACGAAATAATTTGGCTCTTGTCATAGGACACACACGGGGTTGACATGATCCAAGGTTTCTGTTAATGGCTGTAAATCAGATTGATGACCAGTACTTAAATTCAACAAAATATTTAATAACCCATTTTGTTTGCTAGGTTATAGCCCTCTAGGGCAGGGTTATAGTATAAGTTCACTCTTCAGTCTTCAGTGCCTGTGATAGTACTTTGTTTATGATCTAACAAATAAAGCTTGCCCGAAGATCAGAGAAGCAAAGCAGGCAGCCACTACAGAGTTCTCACCTCTGCCAATGCTCAGACTGAAAGGGTGATCCTGTCCTCAGATTGCATCTCCAGACTGCATCTCTCTCCACCAAACCTCAGACTGTACTGAGCTCCTGTCTTCTCCCCTTATATTCCTCTCTAGTGCTGGGCTTGAAGGCGTGTCATCCTAAGTGCTGGCATCAAAGATGTGAGCACTGTTTCTCTTTTAGTCTGATTCACTCCATGCAGCCCAGGGCAACCTTGAACGCACAGAGATCCATCTGCCTGTCTCCTAAGTGCTGGATTAAAGGTGTGTCCACCACTTCCTGTCCTCAGTGTGTGGCTAACTAGTGGCTTAGCTATGCACTCTGATCTTCAGGCAAGCTTTATTAGATCATAAACAAAATATCACAAGTGCCTAAACCAGAGTGGGCCTGGAATAAACAGACACTTAATAAGAAACTATCTGTTCATCAAATATAAGGCCACAATCCCCGGTATCTGCCCTGTAAAATGCCCACCTCCCTCCTCTCCTATGGCCTCCACAAGGTATCTGGCTTCCTCCTGTATGCGTTGCTCTAAGCTCTTCTTTCCCAAGCCAAAGTTCTTCAGGGTCATCAGGGCGAACCTTCTTTGTTCCTTCCATGTCTGGCCACTGGAGAAGATCAATCCTGGAAAGAAGAGATTCAGCGTTATAGCATTGTGATTGTGATCTAAAATCACCTGACAAACTTGATGGGCACGTGTACAATTGAACGGAGACAGGTCAATAAAGCACTTGGTAGCTCTCTAGAGAGACAATCCCAAAGCAAGGGAACTAAGATTTACTGATTACTTACAACATCAAACAATTTAATATTCCTTGTGTGATCTAACACTTTCAGAAATTCTATACACTTATTAACTATTCACTCCAGGCCATTACACCTGATGCAAAAGCTGAGACACTGGGATAAAGCTCACTTTAGGAAGAAATGTAGTTAGTAGATAGCAGCTGTGTATTCATGTTTTAGTCCCTCCAGTTTCAATACCTTTTGATCACACAAATCACATGAACCTATGTTAAGCTGAATAGCAGGAATGCACTCATGGCTAAGACAAGATATGCACTTTTAAAAGGGTAAGAAAGTATTATAGAAGAGGTTCTGCCAAGGCACACAGTAAAGAATGAATACAAGACTGGAGAAAGTAGACAGGATGAGTATCCCACACACAGAGACCCTGGAGGCTATGAGAATGAACCTTCCGGTGTACATAGCACCCATCACCTATCACGTCATAAACAATGGATACATCGTCAATTTGGTAACTTTCAGAGAAATTCTCAAATCCCTTCTATGTAAGTCTTAGCCTCCTGATTGTTACTTTTGAAATGATAATAGTAAGTATTCAAACTAGCTTGTTATATTATTGGCCAGAAGGCTAAAGATATGCATGATATCATTTAATGAGTGATATCATTTAGTGATGGAGTATGAGGAGTTACAATCAAGAAGAACAGCAGCAGCAAGAGGAGGCCGACTCACATCTGTTTTCCAAGGGCAGAGGGTTGGGGTGAGAAAACGGAAGGGAGAGCACAGTGTCTCTGGCTGGATATTCCATAAGAGCATCAAGAATTAGTGTATAGGACACATGGTTTCACCCAAGTCTAGCAGATACACATGGTAAGTCCTCATATGGGTGCTTCCATTCAGGGAATATGGCGTCCTCTTTCTTGGAAGATGGCAATTCATGATGGGGTTAGTTTATGGGAGGGTTGGCAAGCTATCGACAGGCACCTTTACCATGTCACAAGAATTACCATACACACCATACATCACTCAAGGAACTTACCATTTTTATTAAAGAGATGTTTTCGGAGAAGAGTGACAGGACGATTCAGAAAGTTTGGCTCCAATTGAGTAAAGACTTCCTTGATTAAGGGCATGCCACTTACAACCACTGAGGGTATATTAGCAAAATCCAAGCTTAAAACGTTCCCATATTTCTTCACAAACTGAAAGATATTTCAGTAGTTACAATTGAGTGAGCCCAATGTCTGCATGTCCAGAAATGGCAGGCATATGTGTAACCAATGGGACTCAACTTGAGATGTCTACAAATACTGTGAGTGGAGGAAAGCGTCTTCCTCTGTGTAAATGTTTGAAATTTTTTCTCTTCTTCTACATTAAGTTCAATTCCAATACACACTAAGTATAGAAATTTCCCTTTATAAAATACCTAAAGAATTAGGCAAATATGAATTAGGTATGCAGCTACCCAGTGTCCCTAGAGGAAGGCATGAGGATATATGTAGCAATAAATAAGCAAAGTCTCTAACCTGAAGTATCCTGAGTTTTAATGAAGGCAGAGAATGGAGGGAAGAGACCAAGGAAAGTCTGTACATGTTTTGTGTAGCTTTAAAAGTAACCCTGTTTATGCATAGAATAATTCCTTCAGCATCTGCTATATACATAAGATTGTTATGTAACCAATGCAACCAACACTGTGAGAAGCAGTGTGTGGAGTATTTGTGTGTGGAGGAAGCATTTTTGTGTGATGAGAATGTTTCCTATATTTCGTCTCCTATCTACTTTAAGCATTTCCTCAAAAAAAATTTCATTCATGGATTCAGTCCATTTGAATTAAATAAGCATCAGTGTGTCTCTGTATGGGTTATGAGGCCATAAATGTTTTAAAGAAATCAGTGTTCTAAGCTGAAGCATCCTGGAGACCAATGGAGGCAGAGTGTTCTGTTCCTAACCTGCAAAAGGTAGAGAGTGTTTCTTTGAAGTCTACTATAGCAAGCATGGAATTATTAATACATTAAAATATGCATAGCCAGAGGAGAGCCCTCCCCATACCCTGTTAGAAATGGAGACTGTAATAAGGGGTGGAAGCTGGGAGTGGAGACTTCTCTGTAGCTCTGGAGTGGTGTAAACATGTAGATTACATGGTTAACTGTCTATATACTGTTGGGGAACCTAGAATCATAGTATGAAAGGAAAAAAGAAATCCATCCCTGTAAAGAGAAGCCTTCCCGCCAGCCTGATTCCAGAACCACATAAGTCCCAAATGAACACACAGGAGGCTATATTAATAATGAAGCTGTTGGCCTTGCTTGTTTCTTACTGCTAGCTCTGACTTAAGCATTTATCCCATAATTGGTAATCTAAGTATTTCTCTTACCAGAGAACTTTCCGGGCTTCCTACCTCATGGCGTTACATCTTGACTTCCTGTGTTTCTCCTGTGTTTCTCCTACCCAGAGTCCTCCTGGATTTCTAGTCCCACATATCTTGGTTCCCTATTGGCCAACAGTGCTTTATTGACATATACACAGGACTTCCCCCATCACATCCCGCATTGGGTTCTATTAGGAAAAATGAAAGTTGAACTGTGAAAGTCACGTTGTTTTCCCCTTCTAGGCACTCAGCTACCCTCCACATCCCTGGGAAATCAGCCAGCTGTTTATTCGAAAAGCGTGCGAGGATTAGGATGACGGAGCAGGTGAGTCTCTGGCTATAGGCAGGACTCACTGAGTAAAGGAATGGCATTTATTGTGTTGTATTTCATCCACTCTAAAACTCCTCACCATAATGAGCATTTCCCATCTTCCTCAACATAATGAGCGTTTCCCATCTTCCTCACCATAATGAGCGTTTCCCATCTTCCCAACAAGGGGAACAAGCTGTATGTGAAGTAGTGTAGCCAGGAAGACAAAGCTGTTTCTTGGCAGAAGGAATCTCCAGACACTAAATAATGTTGAGGAAAACGATCTGATTTTCAAATACTCAAAGGACCTTGGAGTTTAGTGAGAGCCACAGAGTGAGCAGCAGGCCTGAGTGTAAGAGAGTTTGGATAAAAAAGAAGAGGGAAACAGAGAGAAAGAAAAACAATGTCCATGCTTGTGCAGACAGAGTTGAATGACAGTGTGTGAGTTGCATCAACGTTTCTTCCCTCGGTATGCTCAAGAGTTAGCTTTTGAAGATTCCATTGCAGCCTTTTGTCCGTTTGAGTTGTCAGGGGCCTCCGGTGACTCCAGACCACCCTGCTGACATAAAGCAAATTCCAAGAAACAGGCCTACAGTTTATCTGCCAGTAAAGATTAGCTTAATGGACAATCCCTAGTCCCGTCAGAAGGTAGGCCTAAACAAAGACAGTCAATTGTAAAAGATAGGATCAGACCCTGCTGTCAGGTTACCAGGCAACACAGGAGGCTCTACCTCTCCCACTGACCTTTTTTCCCTGACACCTTCCTTGCAGCCATGGTCATCACCCTCCTTCCCTCCCCTCCTCACTTCCTCCTACAGTCTTTAAAAACCCCGTGGAAAGAATATAGTTTTGTTGACTTGATCAGAATCCTGTCTTGTCATCCTTTCTCGTGTCTCTTGTCCCCCATCTTTCTCTTAGGTGTTCCCCAGACCTATGTTGAATGTCCCTCGGGTCGGGGCACTGAGTCACATCTAGCTTCAACAGGGGTATCAGTTCCTCCTTTGCCACATTTGTGCAGCCTCCTCTGCAGGAATGAGAGAGAAAGTGCTAGAGGTCAGAAAGGACCTGGGAAGAAAAGGCAGCGATGGGAGGATGAGTAAGGGACGAGGCACCAGACTCCTCTGCTTTGAGCTCCGGCTGCACTGGACACTGAAGAGCAGGGCGGTGTCTGAGGTGGGTCTCAGTGTGTGGGGACAACAGCTGAGACAGTGAGCCATAGAGGGGACAAGGTTCCTCGTGTTTGTAGTCACTCACTTCACATGGAAAGCAGTGTTAGCAAAGTCTCATGGGCTGCACATTCATGCTGAGTAACACAGAGCGCTGCTGGACGATAAAAGAGATGCAAAGAGAGAGAAGATGAAGAGAAAGGCAGCCAATCAGAAAGTGTCCAAGAAACACCCAGGGAAGGGATAATGGAAGAAAGGATGTGGGGGAAAAAAAGAAGAAAAATTATGGGCTTAGACCTTTAAACAGCAATAAATAATCAGACACGGCCAATCTTCACATGTAATGGACAGTGACAGGGAAAATTAAACACGGCTTGGAGTATTCACCGTCTAAGCAAGGAAAGGTGCTGTGGATAACGAGGAATATTACATGGGAAGACGGTCATGCACTAGAAAGACCTGCCAGTCTTACATGTGTACGATGTACACATAACGGTCTTTCCGATACACGGGAGACACGGGGAGGAGAGCTTCCAGAAGTGAGTGGAAAGGCAGACAGACTCCCAGCGGAGTTGGAGACTTCTGTGCATTTTCCTCTGGAGTTGATACAATCAGAAGTTCAGCAATCGCAAGGATGTAGAAGGACCAAATTAGGCTCAATAAGAGAAATAAGAGAACTGATATTCATCCAGGTCAAGAGGAGACCGTGTATTCTTTTTAAACAGGACCGGCACTCTAACCAACACCAGAGGCACCCCTTTCCTTAAACCAGCATGACATTTTTGTTTTGTTTTGTTTTTCGAGACAGGGTTTCTCTGTATTGTTTTGGAGCCTGTGCTGGAACTCGCTCGGTAGACCAAGCTGATCTCGAATTCACAGTGATGCACCTGCCTCTGCCTCCTGAGTGCTGGGATTAAAGGCGTGCGCCACCACTGCCCGGCTCAGCATGACATATTTATGAAGCTAAGTTACTATGTCATCCAAAAGAATTAATATCATACACAGTATGTTCCCCGGCCATAAGAGCACACTGAAAATCTTACGTCAACAGATAACAAGAAATCTGAATATCTTATTTCTGGGTTATCAGGCTGCCAGGCTGGGAATATCGCCCAGGTCCTCCCGTTCCAGGTGCCAGGATCCAGTCCCAGGACACAGCCAGGCACTCTGGCCTCTGCCTACCTTCTGTAGGGATATGTGGGGCTGCTTTGGGTCCAGATGGAACAAGCAGCCAAAGAAGGGCAGGCGTCGCGGCCCCGGAGGGTAGTTCTTGGGGCGCCGGTTTTTGAAATAGTCAGCCAGGAACAGGAAGGCAACAGCCGCCAGCAGCAGAGTCTGGAGATGGAGCGCTGCCCAGATGGCTGACACCAGGGAGCCCACCGAGGCGAGCATGGCTGGTACCTGAACAGGCTTCTCGGGTTCTGAGCTGGAGCAAGTCCCCAGCGTCACCGCCTGTGGTTCCCAGAATGGGTCAGCCCCTTGGCTGTGCCCTCCCAGTCCCCACAGGACTCCTCCCATCTCTCCCACTGCGGACTCCTTCGCCCAGATGTGTTTACTTCCGGCTCTCTGGCCTGGCGGCAACCTCTTGTGAAACTCTCAGCTCCCTAGGCTGGAGCAGATCTTTGCACCCACTGCCGCTTCACTTCCCCCAGTTTTCTCAAGGACCCAACCTCCCTGGCTGCACCTCAATGCTCTGTCTTGGTCAAGCCTTTTCCCCAAGTTCCTGTTCGGGTCCTCAGGCTTTGCAGTCTGTTTCTGTGGAGAAGCTAGGATGGATTCCAGGCTTTGCAGTCTGTTTCTGTGGAGAAGCTAGGATGGATTCCAGAAGACTCTTGAGTGTGTTAGGACTGGCTGAGAGCCTAGCTCATTCAGAAAGTCCTTCCTGTGGCTCTCGCTTTGTGATTTGCATGCATCCCAGAAAGCATGAAGGGCATCTGAACTCCTGAACCCCTGTCTTACAAACGAACTTCACCAGTGACTGCGACCTTCATGGGAAATGAGAAACCTTCTCCGGAAGTAAGAAAGACTGTAGCTCTCCCCTCACTTTGACAGCGCCATCAATGGTGAATAAAAGAATTCACAGATTCTTAGTTAACATTGAAGGAACATCCGGGTCTTTGTTTATTGTTTGCTTGTTTTGTTTTCATATAGTGTTAGAGATTGAAGTCTGCCCTTGAGCACGTTAGGCAACCTTTCCACTGTTTCATCAGTTTGTTTCTTTCTCCCTTCCTATTTACTTTTAGTTAGCATGTAACTTAATGAATTTCCTTTAGCACTTTCATATATTTACATGTACATAGTTTCACACACACACACACACTATATATATATTATATATATATACATATGTATATATGTATATATATATTCCTTCCTCACACCCTCCCCACACTACTGTTGTAGGTTCTCTGTTTCCCCCTTCTGCATTTTGGCTATATGGTTTCCGTGACCCTCATCCTAACCCCCTGAAGATCTGCTCCTTCCTACTCATGGTCCCATTTTGCATCACAGGCCCCGCCCCCATTCAAAGTACAGTTTCAAATACTCCTACTGTTTAGAAGAATTGCTTTCTGTAATTTGCTTGTCCATTTTTGGGAGATATCACAAATGCATTGGCATATTGGAAAAGTGATGAAATATTTGCTAATAAGAACACATCAGGTGTGTTTGTGTATTGTAGGATAATGTCACATATCCAAACCTAATCAGAATGAAAAAGCAGCTTATTATATTTGCAATAACAATAATAATAATAACATTGAAACACCCAAAGAGTTCCCTGATGTGAAGGGGCTTCTCTCTAGAAGGAACTATGTCCCATGTCAAGGTGTGAGATTTAGTGCAATGCTACGGGCATATGCGGCTCCATGGCATCGTGGATTCCAGCAAGGGAAAGTCTGGAGCATTAATGTCTTATGAAGAGACAAACTAATCTATAGAATCATGGATATGTATGTCTATTTAACTGCAAATTGTAATGAACAAACTGAGAGCTAGGAGGGAATGTTAAGGAGAACATTCATTACATTAAAGTGAATGGAAAGTTGGTGGGTCCTGCTTGAAATGTCTCTTAGACACAAGAAGGAAGAAACCTCTAGAACTTCTGGGATCAGGTGGTGCTGTGTAGCTGTTCCTTCCAGGACAATAAGACCATTGCACTTTGAAACAAAACATCTGTGATCACCTGCATGGCATCTTCAGTGGATGGGCCCTATCAGCATCACCTCATGGAGGGAGGAGAAAGGCTCTGTATGCCAGCAAGGCCCTTTACTGAAGTTGTTCAAACACCAAATAGCCATTAGGTGGTGGAAGGGAGACTCTTTAGTAGTTGAACAGCTGCCTGTGAATGAAGCAGGGAACTTCCTGTTGGTACCCATGCTCCTGTAAATAGATCTAATAAACTTACTGGTTTACGAAGCTGGAAATTGTGTGGCCTGTTGGTATTCATTCTGTCTCAAGAGAATAGATATAATATAAACTGAATTACAATTATAGATATCATAGATCTTATGATCATTTGCATTGCTTTGAAAATGTACATGAATACAGTTAACAGCACTAGTTAAAAGGGAAAATAGCTTGGCCACTCATAAATTCTCACAATGTATATACTAATATATTAAGTAAATTTGTCAATCAAAGCATAATATGTGGCATTTAATAATCATTATAAGTTACTATAAGCATTATGAGCACAAATTTGTGTTTTTAAGTAAAATTTTCTATAAATAAAGAACATGGTCTTAAGAGATTTGAAACCGGGCATTGGTGGCACACCCTTTAATCCCAGCACTCGGGAGGCAGAGGCAGGAAGATATCTGTGAGTTCGAAGCCAGCCTGGCCTACAGAGGGAGTTTCAGGACAGCCTCCAAAACAATACAGAGAAACCCTGTCTCAAAAAACAAAAACAACAAAAAAAAGAGATTTGAAGCAGGAAAAAAATTAATAATATATTCCCCAGTACATCCAAAACTTTAAAGTATTTTGGTCAAGCAGACACATTCTCTAATGCTTTAAAAATCACCTTCCAATTCTGTATAATGATTCTAGAATTTTCTGTGTCTCATTCTTTCCTGACAGATAGCTCAATGAAAGAGCTTTGTTTTAAGAGCTTACCAAAAAATGAGAAGACTCTCTCTTCTCTTTCAGTGCTAATCCTGATATCAATGTACGTCCTACATATGGCAATTGCTCTTGTAGTTATGTCCAACTCCTTCCTATGTTCCAAATCACAGCACCAACTGCATTACCTTATATTCTCTATTCACAGAGCATGCAGCCACAGGATCAAAGGCTATGGACCTAATGGAAAGTCTGGGTCCCAGTTCTCTATTGCATCTAGTAATAACAATTTTTTTCTTATCAAAATGCTCAAATTTTTAAAGACTGTGTTATATTGTGATATAATATTAGTAGGAGACCTGGGGGATGAAGAAGAAAGGAAGGTTATGGTTTAACAGTGATGGGTTTTTGTGTTGACAAAGGGTCCATTTTGCTGGCTAATTTTTCATGTCAACTTGAAAAAAGTTAGAATCATTTGTGAAGAGGGAACCTCAATTGAGAATACTCCCAGAAGATTTGCCTGTGAGCAAGCCTGTAGTATATTTTTTAAATTAGTGATCAATGTAGTAGGACCCAATTCATCATGGGCTGAGTCACCACACAGAATATGATCCTAGAGTGTATGAGAAAGCAGTCTAAGAAATTCTAAATTTGCTTTAGGCTATAAATAGAGACACAAGATTCAAGAATTGCTTTGTGTTCTGCCTCAATAAAACAAAGGTAATAATCCTATGTCTACTTACTTTTGTCAAGGGAAGAGAGTCTGATATCATTACTTTATTCTTTCATAGAGGCTGTCTCTAAGACGTCTAGATAAAGTGTGGGAAAAGTAGCTGGGCCAATGGTAGGAACAAGACAGAAAATCCAGATAGCTCCTGGCATGATGCTAAATCACCAGATATTTCTACACTCTGCTCAATTTAACTGTTCTTATTTATGTGCTTGGGCAAATGAATTTTATTCCTCTCTGTCAGAAAAAGATGAGGATAACAAAACAATTCTGGTTACCTTCTCTCAGTTTCACATTGCATGTCCATGCACTGGGACAGTGGTGCTATTCCAGTGAAACACTGTTGTAATTTGCCTTCCCTTGAGGTGGGGTTTACTTGTGGCTTGACTGTGCCATCAGAATGCAATGGAAGTTACTGTGTGAAGTGAAGGTTCAGAATGCAGTGGAAGTTGTATCCTGGACTCCACCAGATCTGCCTGCTCGTGTTCTCTCTCAGGACATTATCAACACTATGTGAAAAGCCAGCTGGTTTGCTGGAGGGGGAGATAATGTGAGAAGAACACTGTATCAATTAAAAACTCATTGGTTTCATAACAGTCAGCTAGCTGTCCACCTACTCATGAAAGAGCCCCTGAGCTGATCTGTACATTATGGACAATAACTGCGAGTAATATTATTTGAGACTGCTTGATATCCAAGGAGGTACTAACTGATACGTATGAACTCAGTGAAGAAGGGCTGTGAATCTGTAGGCAAGTTTCAATCTGCTTGTAATAGAGAACCTGACTAGGGGTATAAACCTTAGCTTAAGCCTTGTTATAGAATTGTATGTTCTTAGAATATTATGTGTTTTCCTATAGCAAGAAAGAAGATACCATTCCATTTTCTCTCTAGTCATTACCGAATGAGTAGATTACAGGAGATGATAGATGTGCCAGTTCATTTTTTTTTGTCAACTTGATACCAGCTTGAGTTATTTGGGAAGATAAAACCACAACTGAGGAAATGGATACATGAGATTGTAGACAAGCTATAGGGCATTTTTTTTCTAATTATTCATTAATGCAGGAATCCTACAACTGGGTAAGTGGTCGTAGGTTGCCTAGCAGTCATTCCTCACAGTGGAACTGTGGACTTCTCTGACGTACATTTTTTTCAATCTCAACTTTGTAGTGAGCGTTTAAGTTCCACCATGGAAAACATACTGAGTCTCATATCCCTTCTCACCGTCCTGATTGCTTGCTCCCTGGTACACACCACCATCTCTCTCACCTGGATGCTGGCATTGCATTAACTAGTTTCTTACTCTTAATTCACGTCCAGCCTGTAAGCTATAGGATTACGACAGTAATCATCTGACCTTTTACACACTTGGCTTCAGACTGACTCAATCTTCCACTGTGTTTCCATGATACTCATATCTAGTCGAGCGACTTTCCACTGTAGGTTCTACTCAGCTGGTCCTTGAGTACCCATTCCCTTCTTTCTGTCACTGCTACTCTCTGAGATGCAGCCAGTGTCCTCTGTGTTTGCCTCTGATTGTAAAGATTTGCAGCTGTTACTCACTGTAACTGCCCAGAAATCTCTCCTCTGAAATCCATGCAACCCTTCTCCTGTGTCCGTGAAGCCTCTGTCAAGTGCCACCTCCTTGGAACTGTCTTGTTGATGATGCTCTAAGTGACAGATGTCTTTCACCCTTTCTCTATTAATCTACCATGACTTATTTTCCTTGAAAAAATCAACAGGAACATGTGTGTTTGCAGGCAATTTTATACCACGGTTGTCTCTTAATTATGATGTAATCACCATATGGGTAAAACTGTATTTTTATTGGGAAAAAATGTGGCTATTGAATCAACTACTTTTATTGTTATGGAAAATTAATAGTTTCATATAAATGGTGTGGACATGGGTATGAATATTACTTATGATTACTATTATGATTACAATAGACTAGTAATTCCCTGATAGTTAATAATAATTGCTATTATTATTACTACTAATAATTATTTTATCTTATTAACCTAGTTTCTAATGGGCGTCCAGGGAGATAATGGGTACTGATAAACCCCAGCTACACAGAGATGGTGGACTATTATTTGTAATTGCTTGTGTACTCCTCCACCAGAATGCACATGTG